CCGACTGGAAAGTGGTGCCATGGCATACATCAGGTGCTCCGTTATCTCCTCCGTTCTCCAGCTCCAGGCTCCATAGAGAACCATAGCATAGTGTCCACTGATCTCTGTATCTGCATGGACCAGGTCAGGTTGCCGAGTGAGTCTCTTGTAAGTGGAGATCACCCGGGCATGTAGACAATGCACAGGGGGTAATCCTTCCTGGGTTCTTTTCCCAGAAAGGAAGGGACAGATTTTGTGGTTGCCTTGGTTGGTTAATGAGGCAGCTGGTACTGTCTGCAAGGAAAGACCAGCCGGGAATTTCAAGCAGATGTCAAGAACGCAATCCCTCCAGCTCAGCAGAGGATCCATATTCGGCAGGTGTGGAGCAGTGCAGTCTACCACCATATTGAGGCTAGAATAGCTGGGCACCTCTTGAAGACGTAAGTATACTTTGTACCGAGATAGAGGTAGGCAGCAGGTGTCCCAGCGATGGGGACCAGGATAACTCCCACCAGTCATAAGGTGGGGAGACAGGACCTGTCTGCAGCCCTGTTGATGGAATCCCCCCGAGGAGTTCAGCCGTCACTTCGGGGTGTGCCCACACAAGGCCGCAGCACCAGAAATTTGGTACAGGCAGCAGCAATATTGCAACAGCAGAGTTCCTGAAGGCTTCTATGCACCATCATACATATGCCAAAGGCGAGATGAGTTCCAGGATAACTTATTTAAACTGTTTAATTTGTTTAATAGAAGGAGCGCACTCTCCATGCAACTGCTCTGCATTGCGGCCAGGCCACGCCCCGTTCCAAATATTTTAAACTATTATAATACGATGATTTTAGCCTCAGCCTTACCTTATCTTCTATCTGTTGAAACACCTCAATGGGTTTGTGAAGAAATCCTCCTTTTGTTACACTATTTCTGCCCATTGCATTCGGTAGATGTAACTACCGAACAAAGACCACCCCTCTGGCTCGTTAAACATCAAAGACTGATTCAATTGCTACCTTTGTCTGTGCGGCCAGCGTTTATACAGCCGAACGCCACGTGGCAGAGAAAACCGCGGCCATCTTTGTTCATGCGAACAAAGGCAGCGGGACTTGGTCGTCGAGTGTATGGAACTGAAAATGGACACTCGACTTCCCGAACACCGGTCTCAAACAGAGGAACGCTGGAACTCTACTTACCGAATAGCTAGAAGAGCGCTATTCGGTACTTTGGTGCATTCGACAGAGGGGAACGAATGCTGCTAAGAGCTAGAGGGATCCATTCGGTACTTTGTTCGCTTTTCTTCTCTTTCTAAAGTGAACGGGACAGAAGACCTCCATAGTTTTTGCGAACCCTCGAACCGATCTGGGTGAAATTCGGATATGTTGGCCACCCAGATCAGGGCTATCAGGGGACATGTTATTTGTGGGGATACTCCAAGTATAAAGGGGTGTCCCAGTTATTGGGGAAAAATTAGATTTTTCTGCCTGGAGATAATTATTATTTTATCAGACTTAATTATCTCCAGAGCTAGGGGAGGGAACTGTGGGTGCGTGTTATGTTTTTACAGTACGTGATTGGTTAATCTTTGTCCCTCACTGAGGGATGTCCCCTTGCATGGGGACTTGCATAAAAGCCTGTGTGCACCCATTAAAAGTTAGTTTATTTTGTACCCTTCTTCTTGACTTCGGCTGATGTTTGGGGATTCGTGTGTTTCACTAAGGGAATCATCTTGTGAAGCTATTGGGATTACTATATGGTTCGTCTACTTTATCTACCTAACGGAGGGCTATAATCACTAAGGCTCTGGCGGTTCGGGAGGAAACTATCGAATGAGGTTTAAATATACTTGGTTTCCTTACAGGGTTCATCTGGAAAAATAGCTTATTAACCTCACAATATGGCTAATTTAGAGGAATATTTAGGATCTTCCAGAGGGAGCATCATAATTTTATCTTCAACTCTGGGAATTTGGTGGTGTTTCAGAGTTTAGGATAACCCTCCTGGAACAAGTGTGTATTACCTGTAACTTGAAACCCCTGTTATAAACCGATCTCTGTGTTACTTTAACAACCCAATAGTCCTAGATTTGTAATGTACATGTTCATGCATGTTCGATTACATAAAATCTCTCCCAACAATTTAACACTATGGCTTCAATTTAATATTTAATATCGTTGGACAAGCTCTTCAAAAATAAAATTTTTGGATAAACTTTTAAAGTTATTTACTATAATGAAAAATATTGACATTTTGTAATATTTTTTGATTTTTTTATATATTCATATATTTTTACAAGTGTTATATTTTAATATTTTGAAATACAGTATTTTTAAAAGTTTATCCAAAAATATTAAATAATTTAAAAAAAGTTTATCCAACAATATTAAATCTAGGCTTATATTGGCACTAGTAAAAATGGAGGAATCATGTTTCACGTATCGTGGTCATGTCCAGTCCATCATTAATTTTTTTTTGTGAGCTATTTAGAAATGTAACTGATACAAATACTCCACTGACACATTTCAATTACTTTGGGATTTAACACTGAAAAAACTTATATTACATATACATTTCCAGTAAGTACACATTGCTGGAGCTCGGAAATCTCTTTTACATGAACTGTATAGGGTCAGGAATACAAACATATATTCCGGACCTTAAAGTGTTTATAGTGACCTTGTGAGAACCAAAATGTGGCACTGGCCAATCAGCATCTCCTCATAGAGATACATTGAATCAATGTATGAGGAACGCCCAGCGCCATCTTTTCTCTGAAAAGGCAGTGTTTGCATGAAAAAGCCTGCAGGTACAATGGGTAAAATCTAGAACAACTTGGTTAAGCTGTAGTTGTTCTGGTGACTATAGTTGTTAGAACATTTATCCCGTACTTGGTGATGACCAGAATTACCTGCCATGGTCCTACAGTTCTATCCAGACCAACCCACGCCCTTCAAGTACTTGGAGACACTCTTGAGAGACATCCAAGGGAGTCATATTTTGAAAATGTCTGATCTTTATTAAACAGAACAAGGGTTTTAAGACAAGCAATAAAGGGCAGTTCTAGAAGTAGTTAATTACCAATCAAATAACAGTTGTGATCTTCTTAGAAGAGGGGGAACAAAAATGGTCATGTGCAAAACTACATATGTGACGTGGACATCCTTGCAATGTACAAGGCTGTTAGTTTTATCATTTAACTAAATAGAAAATAACCCTTTCAATAGTGTCCCTTTAAATTCATCTGTTTAAAAGGAGCTCCAGTCTACTGATAAGCAGAGTGTATACGAAGGCTAATTTACTTGTGTTTAAATTCCCAATAAGACCTTTTACTAGAGCATGGTCTACGGGCTACACATAGAGATGAACTAGTTCGTAATTACCCTCATGTGTCAATTAGTTGTTAAAGCAGCTGATGTCTTTGTTGTTATTCCATTTATGGTACCTTGATGGCTCTGGTACAATATGAATTGGTATTTCTTATAGTAACATTTTATGTTGGTGTTGTTGTTTTTTTGCAATGGGCGGAGCTTAGGGGGTTCACCAAGCACCATGACCACTTCAGTTTATTGAAGTGGATATAGTATCTGTTGTCTTAATTTAATTTAATTAAATGAAACCAGTATAATTACCAGTTGAGTAGATGTTTCATCCGATTGGTAGTCTCTCTGCATGGAGGTGTTGGTTAGAAAGTCAGTAAATTCTAAGTGTTAGAGTTTTAGGAGTAGAGTGTTAGTCT